GGCGCCTGCAGTATCCGATCGATGGACAGGGGCAGAAACATGATAAAAAAACACTCCAGCGCGCAATTTTCCACGACTTTTATTCTTTAGTGCTTCGCATAGTTTTTTGATTAATGATGTTTAATAATCTCCAGTTACTGTCTGTACTTTACTTAAATATTCGATCATTATTATACGGTCCACATCCCAGAATACAGAGGCCATTAGTTTTCAAGCGGACGCAGACACCTTGAATGTCCATTTTGCAAACGAATCAAATTCCCGCCAAATGTGAGTTTCGAAAAAAAAATGGGTATAGTTTTTGATTTAGTTATTTCTGGTTTTCACTACTAAAGAATTGAACTTTGGCAAAAAATAACGTATTTCTATAACTCATTGATATGTGTCCTATTCCAACTTTTTGATCAACCTGGTAAATTATACAAATTTCTCTTCATAACTGTATAGTTCTCGTCAAAGAAGATAACATAATGTAGAGACAGAGACATAGAAAATTACAATCTTCCATAATATCATCGATAGGTCGGCTTCTAATGCTAGAGGATCTAGTGTTAAAACGGAATTTTCAGGTAGATCGGCTTCAAAGTTATGTTGAAATTGTTCCATCTCTCTGAAAAAGAAATCACATAGTCAAACTGGCATTTTACACTTTTGTCAACTGACAAAATAATCGATATTAACAAAACAAAGTATGTATGACTAATAATCTAGATGTATGTCTATGACTTGCATGCAAATAAAATCAATTTGCATTTTTTATGTGCTAATGTACCTTTAGTACCTGGGCACATACCTTTAGGTAAGGGGTATTGATGCACTGTAATCAATAAAGCATGTTTAATTTTTTACATAGGCTTATTAAAATAACTGAGACACATCTTCAGTTATAATAATTGTCGTACTGTACGTTTACGACAATAATGCTAAAAAACCATCATAGAAATACATTTTCGGACACAATTATGGTCGTACTGATTTACTTAGAATAATTAATATTATAATGTGAGTTTGATGACCAGATGTTTTATGGTTTTCGAATTTGATTTTTTTATATGCCATTTTTAAAAAACAAGGGTAGCGAATCTAAAAAATCTTGACACAGGGCAACCTTAACCATGTCCGGCTGAACCAGGCTGGACATTAAGCGCGAGGCGTCTTCGCGTGAATCGTTTAATATTTTAATTTTTAATCGTTAACAAAACTATTGATATTCATAAAGTTATCCACTAAAATCACTTTATTATTCTTAATTACATGCCATTTCAATATAATTCCGTACTGTAATTACGATTTGAAACAAAAAAAAGGGTTTTAAAATAGACACTGTTTTGGATTTTTTTCTCGATCGAGCAAATTATGAGTGTAATGTGTCTTGCTTTGAATGTTTAATATCGGTCGATAGGGGATGTATCTATGACATATATTTTTTTAAATTTAAATATAGTATTTTAATATTTAAAATTAAATTTACAAGAGCCAATATTGGGATAACCCGCCGTTAATGTGGGGTAGTTGTTTTTCTTACGCCGCCGCTACATGGCATTATCGAGATCCTGCTTTAGAGTGCAGTCGTGGACTTCCCTTCATATATATTTATACCCGCAGGCACAGTGTTCTTGATGATTCCATTATCAGCGATGCAAGTGGTAGGCAAGCACATATTTTCAAATATTTGTTATTAAATTTAAAAATGTTTTGGATATTCTTGTCATTATAAAACAAAAATTTGAGCTTTCCTTATTCTTTCTTAAATTATTCTTAAACTTACCTAAATTAATTGTATAAATGCTAGTTGAGAGCCAATATTTGAAATAGTAAATGCTAATATTATAAAGGATTGTTTTCCATTGATTCAACACATTCTTTATTATACATTCGATCGGTTGAATAGCCCTTCCTAATTTAATATTCGCTAATCCGACAGCAACGCTACTACGAGAGATTACCTACGTAATCTTCTTTTTTATATATACAAATCAAATGCTGTCAGTTAGTCGTGCTAAAATTTGGAAACGAAGTTTAAATGCGACGTTTAAAAACTCAATTGGTCCCGGTTCTACCACGTGGTAGAGCCATTCTGCAGCTATATTGTAGTTGCAGCACGGATGGGTCAGCTCGACCGGGGCAGCATCACGCTCTCACAGAATATCAGCGTAAAATAGCTGCTGTGCTGTGCTTCTTATGGTGAGTGTAGAGAACCAGAGACCATTTTTACCGGAAATAATGTATTCCTTCTCTGTCCTCGGGGCTGGCAACGCAACTTCATTTTGATTTTTAATTGAAGATAAATGTACATGTCTAGGCCATGGCATCCACTTAACATCAGGTGGACTGTGTGCTCGTTTGTCACCCTTATACTATTAGAAAAAAAAGATGGCGCTGTTGTCGAGATCCAGAAGTCATCCATGCAAAGCCGGGGCGGCACGCTAGTGATATAATAATTAAAATCTTGTATGTTTTATAGTCAAATCAAAACGGCGGGGTTTTTAATGTATTAAAATAGTAAATACAAAAAATCTACTTTATATCCTATGTTACTTCCACATCTAATATAATTGTAACGAAAAACATTACCCTCCTTCTAGCACAGTCGGGTAAAAACATGATCTAGCTTCCCTAAAAGTTCCCTAAAAGTAATAATAATACTAATATAATTTAGATACTGGAGTATAAGTAATAAAAAAATAATAATAATGATGATGATGGTATACACAACTTTTGGCTGTAATGGATAACAAGTAGCCGCGTGCGTTTGGCTGCACAGATTCAAGAAGCCATAGAGTGCTGTGAGCTCCCGAGACTTCTTACAACTGGTATTACCCACTTACTATATAAAAATGGAAACACCACGGAACCTAAAAATTACCGACCTATAACATGCCTTTAAACTGTATACAAATTAATAACTGCAATTTTGAATAACAAAATCTATAAACATTTGGAAAATAATAACATTCTTTCAACTGCACAGAACGGATGTCGGAAAGGGTCACGTGGTTGTAAAGAACTTCTCATTGACAGCTATTTGTCGACAAGTCTTTCGTAATCGCAAAAATATGTCCGCTGCTTGGGTGGATTACAAAAAGGCATATGACTCTGTTCCACATACATGGCTAAAGAGAGTTTTAGAAATATATAAAATAGATGACAAAATATGTAAATTTTTAAGTAAATTAATGGGTCAGTGGAACACTGTCCTAAATCTACCAGGTGAGTGGCAAAGTAGTTCAATAGACTCTATAAATATTAAACGGGGTATATTCCAGGGCGATAGTTTGAGCCCAACTTTGTTTTGTTTAGCCCTGAATCATTTAAGCACTGCTATTGAAGAATCCGGATTAGGGTTTCGGTTCCGAAAAGAAAACTCACCGATTTCACATCTACTTTATAAGGATGATCTCAAAGTATTCGCATCAAAAGAGAGTAATCTACTATTATTGTTGAAATTAACACATAGTTTCAACAATGATATTAGAATGGAATTTGGAATAGATAAATGTGCTATCATCAACGTAAATAGGGGCAAAATTAAAGATTGTAATAATTTTGCAATTACAAATGACTTACATTTCAGTTCTCTTTCTGAAACAGAAACCTATAAATACTTGGGCATGACAGAAGCGCTAGGAATTAATGACAAAGATATTAAAGAAAATTCAAAAGTAAAAATTATGTCAAGATTAAAAAAAGGTATCAAAAGTCATTTATCCGGCGGAAACAAAATTAGAGCATATAACTCCCGGATAATACCTAGCCTTCTATATACTTTTGGTGTTACAAGATGGTCTCAAACGGAATTGAATGACTTAGATAGACGAGTCCGTACATTAATGACTACGCACAGAATGCATCACCCACGATCATCAGTCATGAGGTTGTATCTTCCAAGAAAAGATGGTGGACGGGGCTTATTAAATATTAAAAACCTACGCAACCGTGAAGTATACAACCTCGGAGACTATTTTATTAAAAAAAGATACATCACACATTCATAATGACGTAGTGATTAATGACAAATCATTAACCCCGCTTAATATGTCGGCAAAGGACTGGCAGAGGCCTCATACTATGACTATAGATGAACGCAAAAAAGGTTTGGAATGACAAACAACTGCATGGTCGATTTTTAAAGCATTGACTAATCCTTGTTCAGACATGGTTGCATCAGTACATTGGTTACAATTTGGTGACATTTTTGCAGAAACTGAAGGTTTTATCTGTGCAATACAAGATGAAGTAATTAAAACGAACAACTACCGGAGATACATTCTGAGGGACGGCACAGTTGATGTATGTCGCGCATGTCACTACCCTGGAGAGTCCCTCAGACATGTTATTTCCAGTTGTTCACAACTATCAAATGGTGATTATTTGCACAGATATAACCAAGTAGCTAGAATAATACACCAACAGCTTGCCATTAAATTTGGCTTTACTCAACAGGACGTTCTATATTATAAGTATGAACCAAAGCCAGTCCTTGAAAATAGAAGTGTCACGCTGTACTGGGATCGGTCAATTATCACAGACAGGTTTATAGTGGCAAATAAACCTGACATTGTGGTGATAGACCGAACTACACGCAAGGCAATAATAGTGGATATCAGTGTTCCTCATGACGAGAATCTCGTAAAAGCAGAGAATGATAAAAAAAATATATCGACTTGGCCCATGAGATTGTCTCTATGTGGGACGTTGATTCTACTATTATTGTACCAATAGTTGTATCAGTCAATGGACTTATTGGTAAAAATATGGACGATTATCTGTCCAAGTTAGGTTTGGGCAAATGGCTGAAGGCATTAATTCAAAAATCGGCCTTATTAAATACGGCTCGAAAAGTAAGAAGGTTCCTATCTTTGGATGCCTAACTTCACCGATGGCTTAGAATTCCTCGCCGCGGTGGATAATAACCGAAATAATAATATTATTTATATAGATTGTATATATTTATAATATTATAGTTTTGTGACAATGTATGTGATAATATAATAATAATAATGAGTGATTCAGAAGATGATGAAATGGTCTCCCACGAACTAGAGCAAATGAGGAGTATATTGGAAGAGGCGATTTTGGAAACGCGCAGCATGCCTCTCGAAAATCGACCGCGACTTCCCCGCATACCCCTAAGCAAGCGAAACCGGGCTGCCGTGAGGTCTCTTAACCCAATGCTGGTAACCTATTTGGAAGCCAGCCGGGACCTTTGCGAGAAAGACTCAGTTCTTTTGGCGCCGCAGTGGCAGCTTGCCGTATTATTGGCGCCAAACTTCCCATGGCTGGACGCGCTACTAAACAAAGTAGCGCCATCCCAGCCAGGAGAAAAAGAATTGAGGACCGTATCGCAAAGGCAAGGGCCCTTATCGGCAGACTGATAAGCTTCAGGTCGGGTAATAATAGACCGAGGGTTGTGCGCACCGTTAGAATGGCGTTTGCTGGGACAAATATCAGTTTGTCTCAGCCGGATATCACGCAGAAACTAACGGAGCGCATAGACGACCTGAAGCAAAAGATTGCTGCTTGGGGGAAGCGGATTCGCCGATTTACCGAGAGGTCAAGGCGGTTCAACCAGAATCGTCTCTTCCAGAGTGATCAGAAGAGGCTCTACAAATCATTGGAGCGACCAGAGGTAAGTGGAGCGGGCCCAGGACCGGATCAGGCTAACACTGTCGCATTTTGGCGTGGCCTGTGGTCAGAGCCCGTAAACCACAGCGAGGGCCCTTGGACGGAAGTTGTGGCGAGTCAGTGTGCGAGTATTACACCCATGGACCCTTTATATTTTGACTCATAGGAAGGACAGGCGCGTTGACAACCAAAGTTATTTATTGTTTTGATTATTGCTCATCTACTCTTGCCCACCCCTCTTTCACCTCTTACCACGCCCAAGTGATTTAACGAAGTAGTTGATATTCTTACGCCACTCCTACACGGCGAACCATTTGCAATTGTAACCATCACTTTAATTGTCACTGCCGGGATTCGAGGTCAGTTTTCCTTTTATTTTAATAGCGCTTTTCTACATAAATAGCAAAAGAGTTTTCTCTCCGAACACATAAGAAAAGTATTTATGCGCAATTTTTATAGAATAAGTGGGACAAACGAGTACACATTCCAGCTGATGGTAAGAGGATTTTGTTGCTCATAGACATCTGAATCTATCCTCGATTGAGAATAAAAATGCAGTTTCGTTGTCACTTATGAGAACTTAGAATGCCTGGGCTTCAATGTAAAGGATCTCCAGTTACCTTTAACTCAGCATACGAAACACTGAGCTGATATTTTATGATAGACGACGTTCTAGTTTTCTTAAGATCGCGATATTGTTTAGTTCAGTTGAAAAGTTAAATAAATAAATTTAAAGACGTAAAAACCGAATTGTGTTGAGCAATATATGCTGTACTATGCCTGACATATTTTTTACTTTATCAAATAAATAATTACAGGTCATACAAAAATCCATTCAACAATAATTTAATTGATGTTGTAAAATAATTTAAAAGAAAAAGTGGTTCTAACATCGTATTCCTTGCAGTAGACAGTATCACCATTCCATTTACACGAGACTTAAAATTCCGCTATTTCCAAACGACCATCTTGGCATCAATGACAGCGAGAAGTGTCAAAGGTACCACCACCACAACCACTACGCTCATCAAAGTTTATTGAAAGTATTAAGTTAGACACGATCAAACACAATTGTATGGATCTTCATTTCCATTAAAACGATACTAAGTCGTGATATATATAAACTATAAAACGTAGCTTCTTTGGTTCTTGCCACAACCGAAACAGGAACATTGAACTACTATTTTACGCCAATATTATGTAAGAGCGTGGTCTTCTATGGTCGCGCCGACCAGTTCGTGCTAGAACTATAATATAGCTGCAGCATGACTGTACTACGTGTAATATTTGTTAATCAATTAGAAATAATTTAACAACGTAACTATTACTTCCTTTAACCTATATAATACAAAAATGTATTCAAGTATTAACAGCTGTTAATTATGCATGTAGTGTTTTTCTTAATAATGGTTCTTAAACAAATTATAAATTATGAATAAATATTATTTACGGAGTTTACCGGTTTAATTCAACTTTAATTTATTTTTATCATTCAGACGTTTCGGGTGCTTTACAGCACCCGTGGTAATAGGGGGACTGAGATGTTTGATTGACAAAGTAATTGCATTTTTAGACCACCTTAACTCCATAAACTAAGATACAATTCACAATGGAGTTAGAGGCAAATAATTCTTTAGCTTTCCTAGATGTTTTAGTCATTCGAAATCCTGATAACACTTTTGGTCACACTGTGTATAGAAAAAAAGATCCAAACCAACCAATATCTAAATGGTGAATCTCACCATCATCCTTCACAGTTAGCTACCGTGGGTAAATCTTTGTTTCAGAGAGCACGAGGGATCTGTGACAGAAAACATTGATTGTGAATGTGGTCTCTCTTACATAGGTCAAACAAAAAGATCTATTAAAACCCGCGTGAAGGAACATATAGCTGACGTGAAGCACCGACGCTCCGGGAAGTCTGCAGTCTGCGAACATGTTCAAGATCGTCCCAACCATTACATTAGATTTGATAAACCACAAATCCTCGCAAAAGAACACCGATTTCTACCAAGGATGATACGTGAGGCTATTGAAATTAAAAAAACATATAATTTTCATTCCAGAAGATGGATGGGTGCTGCCAACTGCTTGGGATCCTATAATTTACAAAATTAAACCCAAGGTAGCCGGACTAACTATGACATTGGGACGTCTAACATCTCAGTCCCCCCCCCTCGTGACCACTGGTGCTGTAAAGCACCCGATACGTCGGGATAATAAAAATAAATTAAAGTTGAATTAAACGCGATAAAATCCGTAAATAATAGTTTTATTCAATGTGTAGTGTTCGCGTAAATTTAAGTAAAGTCATCTCACTGCCTCTGTAGTTGCATCAAAGCATATTTACAGAAACACGCATACGGAATATGTCAACGAGTTGGCGCTCGTGGTCTTACGTACCTATTACGCTTGGCTAGAATTTGTTATTTGCATCTTATGTGTTAATGTATCATGTGTTACACTGTGCAGAAAGACACTTGTTTGTCGAGAATATAAATTGAGTCTTAAATAAGTAAGTTAAATAACAACAATACTAAGAGCTAAGACTCCTTCCAGTCCGTCTGCGCCGGAATCACTTTGACTATTCATGCCGGCAAATTGCCGCGTTCTGGTCTGAACGGTATTGAGCGCGAGTATAAATTACAGGCCGTGAGGTATTCCATCATAGTCCTTTGAAGTGATAATGCATCTGAAGCTTCCTTTGTTTTAGATTGATCATCCGTGTACATAGCCTGCAGTTGTTACGATTCAGTAGAACTGTAAGTTCGTTTGCCGGTTTAACTTTTCAATTAACAACACATTAATACATTATATCTTACTATTGTGACGAATTCTTAGTTCGAATGATAACCTTGTTATTGCCCCCGTATCCTTTAGTCTACATCCTAATTTACTTTTTATGAATATTCTAAGGCATTTATTGGCATTAAAGTATAGTGTACTTTAAAATAACAGCTTCAAATTCTTTGTCATTATGATCGCCCCGTGATCCCGTGAACAAATTTCAAATCTTAGGTTATACGGTAGAAGATTTAGTAGATTAAAAATTCTTTTGATAAAAGAAATTTTATTTTCTTACACTGAAGAAATAAAATATGGCCTTGGGAGATATTAGCACCACACACAAGTAAATAAGTGTACACGCTAGAGTAGAAGTAGTCACTAATCTACGCTTTTTGTAGTACCAAAGGAATGTGCATTCCAAAGTATTCTTTTTGGCCCGCTTAAAAAAGGGGATTTTGGATTGCACATCGCTTCAGTAATACAATATGATATTAACAATTCGACTGTATGTGTTTTTTATTGTTTTTGTATGTATCTTCGTCAATTGTGAACCGATATTCATGATTTTTATTGAATTGGTTATAAATACTTTGGGAGTATTTCCATACAAATATAGAGAAACAAATCACTTGTGTTCTTGGGGGGTCTCTTATTAATTTAGATAAAAAATGCACCTCTCATTGTCGGGCGAAATAGCAAAAACTTTTTAATATAGATATTATTAAAACGTCATAAAGATTGTGATATTTATACCTTTCCACTCAAAATAGCTTTTACTAAAAAGCAATAAAATTAAATTCATAATATGAAATTATTTTACTCTTTTTACTTGTTTGAAGTTGACTTTGACTTTAATTAAAGGTACAACTTTCTATCTATTGCAATATTCTTGACTATAATTCATATATATATCATCATTCTCTAAACCATTTCCCATTATCTGGGGTCGGCGCAGTAAATCTTCTTGTTCCATTCCTCTCTATCAGCCGTCATTTCCATACTTACTCCTTTCATTCTCATATCACTCTTCACACAATCGATCCATCTTTTATTCGGCCTTCCTCTGCCCGTGTGTCCCTCCACATTCATATTCAACACTCGTTTTGTGACATGACTTTCATCCCTCCGCATCACATGCCCAAACCATGCCAATCTGCTTCCTCTCACCTTTTTCTACCACTGGCGCTACTTTCAGGCTTCCTCTTATATACTCATTCCTTATCTTATCCATCCTTGTCACACC